AACAGGTACGAGAGCGACGTGCTGATCTTCACCTCCCTGCTGGACAGCCCCCACTCGACGAGCGACCTGGACTTCACGGCGCAGAACGAACTCCTTCGGCAAGAAGTCCGGAAGATGCAGCAAGACAATCTCGCTCGGGAGAAGCTTCGCCTAGAACTGGACGGGCACGAGGACGAACATGGAAACGGGCAAGATCTCGGCGACGGGGACGCTCCATCACCACATCTCCCATCGACGCCAGCTGGATCGTCATCCGAGACCACCGCATCTAGCCCCAGTCCATCATCGTCGAACCCGACTGAACCGGACACTTCTGCATCAACTGGATCCTCCGGCATGCGGCGCCTGCAAGTCACCAGAGCCAGCACGCGCGGGAAGCCCACCAGCGACGATCATATCGACGTCAACTTGGTTCCTGCCAATCTGAAAGTCACCATGAATGACGGCGGTCGGGCCCATGCTACAACGGGCTGCGTGGAGCCATCCGGTCTTTCCTTCACTCAGCTGGCTGAGATAGCCGATCAAGCCTAGCTCCTATGCCCTGGCGATACTGAGGATTCTGCCCACGTTGCGGACGACCCCTTCACGGTGCCGCGTGCTCACGCCTACGTCACGACCACTCACGAACACCACGGGATCTTGGAGGAGACGAATCAAGCGATCAAAATCCCCAACACCTACGACGAAGCCATGAGCTCCCCCCAGCGCGAAGAATGGGAAGGAGCGTGCAGCAAGGAAATGGACAATCTGCGGAAACACAACGTCTACAATCTGGTGCCCCTCAGCAGCGTCCTCAAGGGAGAGAAGATCCTCGGAACGAAATTGGTCTTCAAGAAAAAGCTGGACGGACGCTTCAAAGCTCGCCTGGTAGTCGGAGGACATCGTCAAGAGCCAGGGCAGGACTACGGACGCAGCTACGCACCAGTATGCCGTATCGGGAGCATTCGCATGACGTGCGCCATTGGCTGCCACAACAACTGGCCCATCTACCAACTGGACGTTGTCGGTGCCTTCCTGAACGCCCTCTGCGACAGAGATGTGTACGTCAGACCCGCCCCCGGTACATCCGCCAAGAAATTCGCGACGGGATAACCCATGGTGTACAAACTAGAACGGAGCCTCTACGGCCTATCGCAGTCGCCTGCGTTCTGGAACGACACCCTGGACGAATCCCTCACGTGTTCGGATGGAAAAGGACTCAATCCGACCCCTGCGTGTACGTGTATACCAGCGGCAACATCATCGTGATTCTCACGGTCTACGTAGACGACATTCTCATCACAGGAGGAGACCAGCAGCTCGTGGACCAGAAGAAGAAGGAGCTCACGGATCGATTCGAGATGACCGACATGGGAGAGGTAAAGCGGATCCTCGGGATCGACGTGCAGCGGGACTACGAGCAAGGAACCCTGGCCATTTCACAGGAGCACTACGTGAACACACTTCTGGAGCGGTTCGGAATGCAAGAGGCCAACCCAGTGAGCACTCCTGGATACGGAGCGGAAATCTCCACGAATCAACCTCAGGACCAAATCCTAGGACCCACGGACAAGAAAATCTACCAGTCGATGACAGGAAGCATCCTCTACCTGGCCCAGTGCACGCGATTCGACCTCTCCTACGCTGCCCTACAACTTTCCAAGGCCTGCAGCAACCCAGCGCAGGTGAACATGACAGCAGCCAAGCACGTTCTGCGATACCTTCGGGGTAATCCAGTTCTTCCTATCGTCTACAAGAGAGGACAGTTTCGGCTAGCGGCGTTTACGGATTCATCCTTCGGAGCAAACCCCGACAACGGAAGATCTACCACGGGATATCTCTTCTTTCTGGCTGGAGGACTCATCAGCTACGGTGCGAAGACTCAAACTCTAACCGCGCAAAGCACGGTCGAAGCCGAGATTCAAGCACTTAGCTACTCAGCCAGAGAGGCGGTCTACATCTCAAATTTTATGACGGAACTCAACTTCAAGACCTTCGGATCGGTTCCCATCAACAGCGACAGCACCGGAGCGCTGACAGTGGCCAGGAATGCCATGCACTCTCAACGCACGAAGCACGTGGCCCTGAGGTTCTTTTTCATCCGGGAGCTAGTACTGCGGGGACAAATCACTCTTCACCACCGGCCCAGCGAGCACCAGTTGGCTGATATCGCGACCAAGTACCTCCCAAAGCACCGATTCGCCTCCATCATTCAGCAGATTAAGGACTTCTCGTGTTGATCGAAGATCTGTGAAGCTCCCTTCCATACCAGAAGGAATTTATTTTCGATACGGTGCCAACGGAGGGGTCGAGGTAGACAAGGATATGGTGATGCCGTCGACCATTGTGAATTAGTTGCTTGATCGAGGGGTCGTGTCAGGAAAATCGTGCGTCGAGACCACCAGTAGTCGGACACGGTTTGACCTTTGAATACGATTGCAGCAACTAGTCTGCGTAGCAGTAGAAAAGAATCCATCTCTCCTTGGCATGTATTCTCTTGTTCTAGAAATATTCCGGAAGCATGCTAGGTCAAGGTTGACCGGGACATCTATGTAGAACGTGTGTAGCTTCTGGAAGCCTTCTGGAAACTTCTGGTTCCTCCTGTAGCCTCTGGAAGTCTTTCTGGAAACTTCTGGTTCCTTCTGTAAGCTTCTGGAAGCGTTCTAGATCTAGGTTGCAGTTGATACTCTTCTACAGCGTAGGAGGGCTTCCAGAAATCATTCTGGAAGCATTCTGGATCTTTCGTGTGATTGGCTTATTTGTCCGGTATTCGAGAAGAGTGGTGCAGCCCTAAGCTCGCCCACCACTCTCACTCCTCTTCAGTACCAGCAACATCTGACTCGGGAGTCAGCGATTAATAAAAAAATCTTCATATTTCTATTCCAAGTCTCTCGCGGTTGGAGCCGCACAGAGTGTGAACCTCTGAGGTAGGCTACACAGCCTACTGGCATCTGCAGCATCGTACTGCTGCTAGTGCACAGCGAAATCTACTCTGACAACCATTGACCGCGCGTTCTCGAGAGGACGGAGCATTGTTCCCACAGGACCGATCACCGATGGCCAATCGTTCCTTTCTACTTTGCCAAAGGTGGCTCAAAAATGTCTTTCCTCGTCTGTCCATCCTAACGATATCTCTTCCCGCCTTTTCAACCCACTTCCTATGCCCCAGTACAGCTACAATCCTTTCCTCTCTATTCCATGCCTCAAGCATCTCCCTGTACGTCCTATCTATTTTNCGTCTGTCCATCCTAACGATATCTCTTCCCGCCTTTTCAACCCACTTCCTATGCCCCAGTACAGCTACAATCCTTTCCTCTCTATTCCATGCCTCAAGCATCTCCCTGTACGTCCTATCTATTTTTCCCAGCTCAGTCACGTACACTTCCCTCTCCTTGCACACTGGACACTCCGCAACTACATGAACACGGTCTTAGAATTCGAAGCCACAATCACATTTGAACTCGTCGTCTTCGTCGTCTACCGTCCTATGTCTTCGTCGACGTTCTCGAAGGCCTATATCCCCGGTCCTGAATTTGACCTTAAGCTTTGTTCCTGCATCCATTAGCCCATGCAGATAATCCTTGAACCCTGTTCCTTCCTTCAACTTTCCGTACACTTCTAGACCCTCCTTATCCTTGGATTCGTTCCATAGATTCTGTTCTTCTCTCTCGGCACAAGCAACAGGGGGGGTGCGGGGGGATATTTGGTTTCCATATGATGAACCAATCACGATATTTTAGTGAGAGCTCCAGCAAGGGAACGAAAGCATGTATGTTTGAGGACGTTGGTCGGCGGAGGGCACTTCGGTTATATCGGTTATGAAGTTGCCACTACAAGTTCTTCCCATTTTTTTTTTTTTGGGTTGTGTTGTAGCATGTTGCCGTTGGAAGAACACGCGCAACCCCGCCCAAGCCCATGCACGGCCTTCCTTGTGCGACCTTTCAACGGTGTCCCGTATAGGTGGGACCCATCGGCAGCGCCCCTCAGCTTACCACAGCCAAGAACTAACTGCAGCTAGCTACAGCTGCTGCCTCCTGCTGACAAGGATCCAGCAGGGAAGAGGTGCTTGAACGACGTTCCAACTCTCTCTCGTGATTCATTAATAGACGCTTCTGCGTTTAAAAAGGTAAAAATAACTTCACATAAAGACCAACCGTTCGAGGTACCTCAGTCGACAGGGATATGGTGAAGTTTTTTCAGTAAATCTAGGGTTCCCACCTTTTTTTGACCCGAGAATTTTGACACAAGGCAGCTCGGGTCAAAAAAAAGTGACGGTTGATATTTGACACGAACTTATTTCGCCGCTTGTTACCTTTCGGAGCTCAGCAGCGGCGAAATCTCGATTTTAAAAAAACACTCAGCGCAAGACCGAAAACCTAACGGCTGAGCCTCGGAGCCTCCACCCCGTAAACGCTACGAACCGAGGGAATGGCGCGCCTTGAACGAGGTAGAATCCGCTATGAGCGGTATGATGAATGCATGCAGATCATGGCTCTGGCCCTGCTCTGCGCATTGGCCGGAGAGGAGGACTTGTTTCTCGTGATGACCATGTTTGGTCTTGTCAAACTGCAACCGTCCCTGACGCGGATGTTTGCTCGTGCGAACCCTCGATGAACGCAACCGTCCCTGACGCGGATTGGCACCAGCAGGAGTGCGATGTGCTCCCGGGATTGTTTTTGCAGACGTGTGTGGGTGTGCGGCAGTGCTTTGCGAGCTGGTAGGCGGAGTTGATCGCTTTGTGGGGGCTTCGGGGGCACCTCGTGTCAAAA